GGTCGTGAGCGGTCCAGGAGGCCTGGATGTGCTGCATCCATGTGCAGGTAGTTAGGGCCTTATCTGGCTCTGCACCTCTCCCCCTCAAGTAGCTTTGGAACGAACGGAGTTGGAGCCCTTCTCTTGTTTCTTGTTCCCGGCGTCCTGGTCCACTGTGACTTTGGGTGGGGCGCCGCCGTTGGTGGCAGCACCATGGGGCGTTACCTGCTGCCCCCCATCCTCCGCAGTCACCTCGTCCAGCGTCAGTGTCGCACAGCCCCTCCCAGGGGCAGGAGTCTTGCTTCCTGGGTGGGGTGGGGAGAAGAGAATGGGGCGATGTTTGCGAGAAAATAATTCTATGTTGGGGTAAATGATCATTTGGAAGGACATCAGCTTTGCCTCACCAGACGTTTGTTGTGTTTGTTATTTTAAAAAAATTTTTATTCTCACCAAAATAACCTGAACAAATCCTTAGAACACACTTGGCGCTTTGTGACTGCAGCTGTCTGTGCCACCGCCCCACCCCAGAGGGGCCTCTTCCAGCTCTTGCTGGCTCCTCTGCACAGCCTGCTGCTGTTGCTGCTTCGTAATTCTCTCATCTTAGATTCGTGTCGACTTCCTGCTGCAAAAAATGCCCTACTGGCCTCTCTGTCTCCTTCCACCTCCAGGACACTGTCGACAGCCGAACCTGTGGGGCCTGGAGGGGAGTTCCTTTCCATTTTCCCTGGAGTTAACAGTTGCCTCATTTTTCATTTGCTGAGTTTTCTGTACATCGTGTGCTTGGCTCCCTGGCCCAGTGCTCTGTGAGTCAGGGAGAATCCCCTGGGCCCTGTCCTTTGTCTCCGTCTGACCTTCCGGACCGTGCAGCCCAGCCTCCCGGCGTCCTGTCTTCCCTCCTGGGCCTGGCTCCCACCTCCCCTTTCCTGGTCTCCTTGTTTGGCAGAGCAGACACTCTGCTGGGTCCTTGTGGAGGGCTCAAGGGAGACAAGTGTGCAGCCTCAAGGATCTAGAATTGTCTCCATTCTACACTTTTCCCTTCTTTTGTACTTTTAGAAGGTTTCTTAGCTTTACTCTCCAAATCTTCCGTTGAGCTTTTAATTTCTGTCATATTGTTTGTTTCAGGAGCTTCTTTTCCTCAGTGAATAGTTCTCGTGGGTGAAGTAAGATGAGGTTTCTTTGCTCCCCGCGTCATCTCTGGCTCTTTTCTCGTCTGTTTATTTGCTCTCATGTTTCAATCTGGGCCTTCCCTGTCCCCAGCGGTCCACTCGTGCAAGAGGGACGCCTGTGCCCGCCTGGCTGCATAGCTAACGCAGACTAGCCGGGCAGATGTGTGTGCCCGAGAGGCTGGCCGAGGGCGCCTCCTGGAGGCTCAAACACAAGTGAGGGAGGCTCAGATGGCCTCAGGTGGCTGACAGAGCCCTGAGGAGGCCAGCCATGCAGGTGCTACCACAGCTTCAGCTCTGCCATCCCAGCGTGAATGAGCGCGGCTGTGTTCCCTTGAAACTTTATTCACAGAAACAGGTGGTGGGTGGGATTCCGCCCTGAGCTGACCACCCTGCACCAGAGGCAGATTAATGTGGCCCGACAGGGTTAGGTTGGCTAGGGCTCCAGGGAGATGGAAGGTACTCTGGGTGCTGGGATTGCCCTGCACCTGCCCCTGAGCAGTGGCTGTGTCGCTTCATCGTAAAAAGAGAAACGGTGTGAGCTACTTGGCAGTTGGCTGTGAGTCCATATGTGCTCAGGGCTCATCCCCTGGAGGTCCCAGCAGGAGGGCCAGGGGGCTTTTCTCTGGCTCTCAGGGCAGCGTCCCACAGAGGCCTCTGCCAGTCTCCTGCTATGGGTGGACTGGCTTGGAGGTGGAGGAGTCTGGGCACCCCAACCAGGGGGACACTGTCCGCCAGCCCAGGTATGAGGTGGCAGGTCCTGGTGCTCATGCCCGGCTGCCTCACCGTCTGCAGGAGAACCCCGCGGGCAGCTGCAGGGCGTGGGGGGGACCTGGCCCATGCGGGACCCTAGGTCTCCACATCTTGGCTCCGAGCCCTAGAGAGAATGTTTCTGCTTTCATTAGACGGCCCCTTGGCTCCAGCCGCCGCCACCATGCCTTTCGGTTCCCACCAGCTTCCGGAATGTTGCTGGTGTGTCATGTGGGCCTAGCTCCCGTCTTCCTTCTTTGAGGGCTGTGTCTTCTCAGTAGAGCGGAGGCGAGCGTGCACCCCGCCAGGGAGGAGACGCGGGCCCTTCCCTGCAGACTCCGTCTTTCGTGGGGTGGGCTTTACGCGAGTGTTTCCAGTTGAAGCGACAATATGTTCTTTTGAGACTGAGGGGATTTTGATTCTTCTTTTATTTATTTATTTTTCCTGTTTCGTTGAGAAATCACTGATGCCTGTCCCTGTGAAGGTCTAAGGCGCACAGCATGGTGGTCCGGCTCACGTGGTTGTGAGTGGCACCACAGGAGGCTTCGCTGACATCCGTCATCTCGTGTAGATGCGAGAAAAAGGAAAAGTCCCCTGTGATGGGCGCTCTCAGGGCCTGCTCTCTCGCCGGCCTTCCTGTAGACACACCCAGTGGTGGCCGCAGCCGCCGTGCAGTCCGCCGTCCGTCACCTCCCCGGCTCTTATTTCTCTTACAGCCCGAAGCTTGTGCCCCTTGACCACCTTCCTGTAGTTCCACCCCCCATTGTTTTAGTTTTTACAGATGCGTTACGAAATATTTCGGGTGCGCCGTGGGCCAGGTTGAGTGTGGCCGCCCGGCTGCCAGGACTCAGGCCAGCTGTAGTGCTGGTGCTGCTCAGCCCCGCCTGCCCTTTCCTGGGGGCAGCTGCTTTTCCGGATCTTCTCGGGTGCTCTGAAGGAGGCGGTGTGATTTTCACGACTAGCTCGTAAGTGGCGTCATGCTACCTACCCTCTCCTGCAGTGTCCGAGGTCTGCGTGGGGTCCTCAGCACACGTTCCCGCCATGTGCACGCGTGGCTCTGGTCAGTCGTCTGTGCTGCTGCCCCACTGCCGGCATCCGGGTTGCGATGAGTGTTTCCTGTGGTGCCCGGCGCCGCAGGGGACACCTGTAGACACGTGCAGGCGTGTACCAAGCCCGTGTGCGCCTGGCTGCAGCTTCTCCTGTGGCCTTCAAGCTTCTCGATTCTAGGTGAGGTTGAGGGCACCGTTTTTCTAATCAACAAGTCATTTTGAGCTATTTTTAGCATCAGCTGCTAAGTCCTCGTTTCCTCTTCCCACCCTCCCCCCAAACACATACACACACACTTTTCTCCCCGATTCTGGAACACAGATGAGATCTGCCTCGTTGGGGTTTGTGGAGACGTCCCTCCTGCGCTCCTCCTGGTCTCCTGGCTGCTTGGCTTGCTGCTGAGCGGGGGGCGTGCTGACGACACAGGCCCCTGTGGAGACGGCCTGGATGGGATGAGGCCGAGTCTGAGACAGACCCTCTGCCTTTGTGAGCCTGCAGAGGCCGCCGAGTGCCACACCGTGTGGGGGCCCGAGCTGGGATCCCTGGGCTCACAAAGAGGGCAGGGAACCTGCAGCAGGCCTCCCATCGCCCTGCTGGACGCCCGACAGCAGACTGCTCCATGCTGTCCTGTGCTTGTATTTCTTGTGGTGTGGTTGTGGCTGTCTTATGGGACAGCCTTCTCTTTATAAAGGGTTTGAAATGAGCCCAGGGGACTCCAAGCAGAAGCCGTGTCACTGAGTCCGGAGCTCCCTGAGGACACGCGGCGCTGGACGCCCAGTGCTTCCGCTGTGCAGGGCTGTTGGAGGAAGGGGTGTCTGCCCGGCTTACTTCAGAGGACAGTCACGTCAGGAGACTGCATGTCCACCAGGTGTCACTTGTCTGAATTTTTGTCCGCCTGGCCTCACGAGTGGACATGAGACAGGGCTCTCTGTGACAGCGGCAGCGAGCTTCCTCACGCCGGTGAGCTGCTGTCCCTGGCAGTGTATTAGGCTTCTTCAGTCTGGCTCTCAAAGAAGAAGGACATTGAGATTTTATCTTCTTAACAAAAATAAAATAGAGTTGAGTCCTTCTGTGGCGGGGTGGTACCACTGCAGCCCTCTCTCCTGCTGATGACAACAGAAACTCTGGTCTCACATCCAGAGCAGCCCAGCACGGACCGTGAGACTGGAGCTAGGATTCAGCCTCAGCCCGGCTCTCAGGCGAACCCCCAGCCCCTGAGGGGTGCCTGTGCCGGCAGGAGCAAAGCATGGGGGGGAGCACGCTGAAAACCAGGAGACACTGGCACCCAGCCCCGGGGCTGTGAGACAGAACTTGGGGTCTGAACCTAGTCAGCTCGATAGCCTGCTAAAAAAGCCCAGCGTCCTCTGGAAAACCTGGCCGCATCAGTACAACACTGAGTGAACCACTTAAATGATGGCCAGATTAGATGGAAATACCAAGACCCAACTATTTGCTGACTCCAGGAAACCCACTCTAAGCACAAAGATTAGATAGATGGACTGTCAGATAGAGTCGACCCCAAACCGAGGTGTGATTCTGAGGGTGAGGGGTAGCACTCACCAAGGAGATGTCACACCTGAGCGGGTGTTCTCCCAGCAGCAGGATGGAGACTGGTGAGGTGACAGGAGAGATGGCCCGTGGCTCCAGCCCACAGAACAGAGGACAGAAAGCCTGAGCAACACCGCCGACCAGCTCGATAAAGTAACTAACTGAACAGTTACTGAACACTGGTCCCAACATCAGTAAAGCACATTCTCTTCAAGTGCCCATGGGACATTCACAAGACATTCTGGGCCATAAAACAAATGCTGATAAATTTAAGAAATTGAAATCATACAGTGGTGATCATTTTGTAGCATATAGAAAAGTCAAGTCACTGTGTTGTACACCAGGAACTAACATACTGTTGTAGATCACTTATACTTCAAAAACAAACAAATTCATAGAAAAAGAGAGCCGGTTCTTGGTTACTAGAGATGGGAGTCGGGGGCAGGGGTTATTACATGAAGGTGGTCAAAGGTGCAGACTTCCGGTTATAAGATTAGTAAGCACTAGGGACGCAGTGTCCAGCACGTGGTGTGTGACATGTGAAGGCTGTCCTGAGAGCCACCCCGAGCTCTCATCACAGGGAGCAGGTCTTCCTTTTTCTTTTGAGTCTCTGTGAGATGATGGATGCTCTCTGCACATACTGTGGTCACCGTCTCATGATGCCTGTGTATGTCTTAGACATAAGCAGTGCTGTATGCCAGTAATACCTTGATAAAACTGGGAGAAAAGTAATGTTTCTAACTTAAAAAAAGAAATCATGCAAAGTATACTCTGAGTGTAATGGTAACCAGTGTAACCCATAACAGAAGTATGTCTTATTTTCCTCTTTCCTATTCTGAAACAGTCAGCCTCACTGCAGGCAAAGATAACTTTCTTTAGTAGGTTTTGCAAGATGGCACAAAACATGTTATCAACAAACTACGATATCTTTTGTTCCTTTGTAAAGGAAGCCAAAGCGGGGTGAACTTTTTGGTAATGCTCCAGTGCTCTATCTTATTTGGAAATGATCTAGATATTTAATGACTACCTGTCATTTAATTTAACTTAGCAAAACTGGAAGGTTTCAGAGGACCAAAAAGATGTGGGAAAGCTATTTAAAGGGTTTACCTAGAAATTTTTGTCTCATCCACATCCATTCAGTTCACTGTCTTCAACAGTCACATTTATTTAATTTTATTTTTTTGTCTTGGAACATCAGTCACATTTAGATTATGCACGAAAAATTTCATCCTACAAAGTTATTTTCCTTGCTGACAGATTTTACAATAAAGACAACAGGGGTCACCTGGCCAGCAAGCCCAGGTGGAGCAGAGCTGTGCGCTGGCGTTATTTTCAGTGTTGTGAACTCCGAAAACATTCCTGTTTCAAGCCAAGCCCCAAAAAGTCCCCTTCACCAAAATTAAGCCCAGATCACATAAACCCAAAGAGCACTCAGCCATTTCTGTTACGTTTTAATCCCTATCAGCACGTTTGTCTTAAGTCAATTAAATAGAGTGCTTCTACAAACCGAATCTGGCAATACGTCAAGAGGTATGAAAATCAGCCACAGGACACACGCCCTCATGTGCACAGACATGCGCGAGCTCACAGAGGGTGCAGACGGGCCTCCTGGTCTTGTTCTAAAGTTTAACGTGACAGACACAAGCCTGGCAGGCCTGTTGAGACTCCAGCTGTAGCCAGGGTTTCTGTAACTCATTCCTCCATACTGAGCAAGACGAGTGAGAACTTCGTTCACACAAAGACCTGCATGTGAATATTTATATTAGCTTCACTTTTAGCTGCCCCAAACTGGAAATCACTGCCAGATGGATGAGGAAACAGGTGCACCCCTAGGGCGGCCGAGTCCTCACCAGCCACGGGCACGGAGTCCCCGCGCAGGGACAGCGTGATGAGCCTCGAGTGTGTCTTCTTGGGGAAGGGCGCGCCTGCGTGCTTCCGTTCATGCAACACTTTGACAAAGGAAAAGAGCTGGTGCTTGCCGGGAAGCGGCGGTGGGAGCGGAGGTGGGAGCGGGACTCGGCACTGTGCACCAGAAGGGCCAAGGTCACTGCGTGGGCTGATACTGCAACAGAAAGCCTCATCTCTCCTCCAGTGCCAGCCAGTTCCCAGAAGAGGGAAACCGAATGCTGCCCGCTGGGTCCTTGGCCACATGGAGCCAGCTTGTGGTGGGGCAGGCCCGGCCAAGCTGTTGGGCAGGTGATCCTTGCAGGGGCCTAGGCGCCCTTCTGGAGAGCAGGGCTGTGAGATGAGCTGTGACGCTGGAGACTGGGATGTGGGCTGGGAGGGCCATGCTCCGAAGGCCCAGAGGCCAGAGCAGGCTGACAGGGCTGTCGTTCCAGGGCCACACCGCACCGTACAAAACCGTGTCCGCCCGGGCTGCCGTCCAGTCCACCATCCTCCGCCTTCCAGCCGTGGCTTTTCGAGGAGTTTTTGAGAAATATCCCGAGACCCTGGTGAGGGTGGTGCAGGTGGGTAGCTTCTCCGTGCAGTGTCTGCTGCTGCCGTGGGCATCTCGGGGGGCGCAGGGCTGGTGCCCTGAGTGTCCTACCTCCAGTGTTCGAAGTCCCATAGCCGTGAGGCCAAGTCCAAAATAGTGGAGTTGACGTCACTGGCAGGACCGAGTGCTGGAAACACCGTGTGTAGGAGGAGCTAAGGCGATTTTTTAAAAAGCTTGTAATATGTGTTTTACAGTAAAGTTTAATGCTGATAACCTCAAAGAGGACTTCGGGTCTCTCACTGCCCATAAAGAGCTCTTTTTATTATTAGACTTCATGACTTGAAGTAACTTCAGATTTAGAGAAAACTGTCAAAAATGATGTGGAGTTTCCTTCTGCCCCGAGTGTCACGCCTTTGGGGGCCAGGGGAGTTGTCTGCGACGGGGCCTCTGACCTCTGAGCCCGTGCGGGCCTGTCTCCCCCAGATCATCATGGTGAGGCTGCAGCGGGTCACGTTCCTGGCTCTGCACAACTACCTGGGCCTGACCACTGAACTCTTCAACCCCGTGAGTGCGCTTGGCATCCTGACAGGGCCTCGTGCTGAGAGCCTGCCCCCTTCTCCGTGGGGGCGGGAGCGGGTTGGGGCCCCCCGCTGTCAAGGCTGGTGGGGCTGATCCGATGGCTGTGAGGCGGCTGAGGAACTCGCGCCCCACAGACTCTGCTGAGACTTAATGTGAAGCCATGTGGCCCTGCTCTGTCCCCAGCCCTCGCGCAGGCCCGGCGCCCGGCCCTGAACACGCACCCGCTGTTAGCACCTGCGCCTCGTGGGGTGTGCTCCAGGGCCTGGCGATGCTTTAGGCTTTGCCATCGTTTGCCGACATTTTAGAGCAAATCCTTTTGTTTTCTACGTTGTTTTTCTTCTCAATGAAGAGCAGGGCTTCTGACAGTTTTGACATTTGTTTGGACATGACAGGGTTGCCAAGATGCAACTAAGCTGGGCCTTTACTGCCTTAAAGGCAGCTGTCTTCCTGCGTGGCCCCAGCCTCCCTTCAGCCCCTCAAGTGTGGCTTCTCTCGAGGGCTTCACACTCCTTCCCGGGGGCATAGCCCACACAGCCAGGAGCAGCCGGCTTCTCTCTCGTATCTCAGGAAAGCCAGGCCATTCCCCTTGTGACTGTAGCCAGTGTGGCTGCTGGAAAGGCCCGGAGACAGATGAGCTACAGCCCCGAGGAGCGGCTCGAGAGGCCCCTGCAGCCCCAGGACTCCTGCGAGCCAGGTATCGCTCCCCCGCCCCGGCAGCTGACCTCCCACGGCCTCAGCCTCCCTCCCGCCCTTGGTCAGCAGCTGTCTCCCCAGCTCTGCAGGGGATCTGGCTTTTCCTGTGGGGGACAAGCTTTGTGCTCTGGCTGCACTGCTCTGAGCTCTCAAGAGGGGCCTGGATTTGGGCAAAACATTGTTCACTGAGGCTTCTTGGGCAGAAGTCACCTCTGGGGTGATTGTGCACACACAGCCGTGCTGCCGTGCTGTCGCCTGCTGTGGCGGACACGTCACCGGTTGTTTACAAACACAATGTGTGAAGTCCATCTCGGCAGAGTTGCTGAGGGGCTCTCCTGGACGGTTGTCCTGGTTCCATACCCTGTGGGGCCAGGAGCTGTGGCTGGTGGGGTCTCCCCCGCAGTGCTCAGCTGGCCGGCCTTGGAGAGGGCCGAGCAGGGCCTGAGTCTGAGCCTGGCACTTGCTGTCACTCACCTGGGCAGGTGGGCACAGGTGATGAGGACAGGACCCAAGGGGCAAGGGTGCAGGGCCCGGGCCTCGGCCCCGCGGTGTGTGTGCTGTGGGCGCGGAGGCCCGGCCTCACACCGTGTCCTCCCAGCAGGCCGTGGCGGCAGCTGTGCTGTGGCCTCTGGGCCCGCTGTGCTGAGGAGGAGCCACTCCGTCCCGCTACCTTCGGTCCACGAGGAGGTGGCAAACGAGCGCAGCCAGGTGCAGGCAGCTCACCAGGCCCCTTCAGCCCCACCAGGTAAAGGACTCTCTGTCCCACCCCAGACGGGGGGCATCTTGCCGCCTGGGTGTCCTGCAGGCTCCTCCCCATACACTGCCCCACTGCCCCTCCTGCCACTGCCAGAGCAGCTGCTCCAGCGCCACCCTCACCCCAGAGCCTGGCTCTGCCCGCTGGCTACTAACGTGCCACAGCCTCCACTGAGACGGATGTTCCTTGGCCTCTGCCCCCTGGCCACCACCCAGGTTTTGCTTTCATTGTAGTAGAGTTGTCCCCCGGAGCTGTCTGCACCTGCCCCCTCTGCTGTCTTACAGACCACACCACTTACAGGAAGTCCTCCTTCCCAGCCTGTGCAGTTTTCCCTCTTTTTCGTTTGGCCCCTCTATGCCCTGCAGTCAGGTCTCGTTGTGGCTCTTGCTCCATCTTCTCGACAACTCATGAGCCTGAGATCTTCCTTCTCCACTCGGGGGGAGTTCCATGGTCTTTTGCCCGTTTATCTCTTGGGTTGTCTTTTGTTTTCTTGTTAATAGGAGCTCTTTTTTCCCCCAAAGTGCTTTCTTTTAATTGAAGTGTTGTTAATTTATGATGTGTTAGTTTCAGGTGTACGGCAAAGTGAGGCAGTTACACATACACACATATATATTCTTTTCGAGATTCCTTCCCATTGTGGGTTATTACAGGGTACTGAGTACAGGTCCCTGTGCTGCCCAGAGGGCCTTGCTGTTTGTCTAACAGGGGTTCTTTGGGTTTTCTCTATGTTAGCCGTTTGCTGGATGTCTGTATTACAAATATTTTCTTAATGGTACCTTTAGATGGATAGGAATAGAGTCCAACTGGCCAAGTTTTTTCTTCTGTGGTCAATACATTTTGTGTCCTGTTTAGGAAGTCTGCCTCTAAGATTTAATATTTTCCTCCTGACACTCATCTCTCTAGAATTGACTGTTTTGTCTGTGTCGTGGCACATTTCTTCTGTGTGGCTCAGCTGACCCACTGTATTAAAAAATCTGTTTAGTGAAATTTTTGAAATAAAATGAGATTAAATGATAGATAACTGAAAATAATAGCAATTCACATATAACAAAATTTGAAGATGAATTATCCAGTTCCATGAGTATGTCCAGTTACTATCCACACAGGCAGAGGCTTACCTTTCCTCTAGCCTGTGTACATTATACACTCTCCTGGACGTGATTCTGGCAGAAGTCAGAGGTACACTCAGTCTTCCCTCGGCACCCATAGGGGTTGGTTCCAGAACCTCCAGTGGATACCAGAGTCCGCGAACGCTCCAGCCCTGGTGTGAAGGGGTGCCGGACCGTCCGTCAGTCCCCCGTGTCCCTGGCCTCCACTCCTCAGAGTCAACAGGCTGTGGGACTGGCCAACAACTCTCGACGTTTTAGGTTTCATAGACCATGTGATTATGATGGCAGCTTAATACAGAAATATGCGATGTCTAACGCATTCCTGTGTTTATCCCAGGAAGTATGGCTGGGTTTTATTTTTAAATTAGGTGTTGGAATCGTAATATTTTGGCTTATTAGTAGTAAACAATAATAAAAGCAATAATGTGGTGTATAGTATATATCGTATGTTAGTGTACATCATATAATAATGTAATGTCACAGTAAGTGTTACGAACCCACTGTATCTCAGGACGGACAAGACCGGTATTGTTAACTGGTGTGTTGCTTTAAACATTTCAAAGTCTTGTCACTGTGATTAGAGAGCAGCTCCCAGAGCTGCGTGTTTCCTGTGAGACATGACGTTTAAAAAATTGATGGAGATCGGTCTTTGTAGTTCCTGGTGACAGTCCCATGTTTTACTTTTTCATGTAAACTGCATTCTTTGGCCACGGGAAGGACAGCACTGAGACAAAGCCACACAAACCACAGGCAGACCCTACAGTCACCAGGCAAAGGCCCTTCCGTGACTCCTGCCCTGGGTTCCAGCTGGCCCGGTGGGAGCTGTGGTTTGCCCCACCCAACCCCCATTTTGTCTAGACCGGGACCTTCCTGTCACACGGCTTTCTGGGTGTCCATTCTCACCTACAGCGTCTGTGTGCTTGGGATTCGGGCTGCACTCAGCCAGCCCTGCCTGGGTGGGTGCACGGGGCCCACGTGTCCAGGGAGCCAGCATGTGTCCTGAGTCCCCCTTCCTCCGTAGGTGGCATAACCTGCACCACCTCAGACCTCAGAGTGGCATGTGACCACGCCCGCATCCGCCCACACGCAGAGGAGCGCCCTGGGAGCACTGCGGCCAGCAAGGTAGCCCCCGCCCCCGCCCGGTCCTGGCTGTGCCCAGCCTGTGCCCCTCGGGGCCCAGGCCAGCTGGGCCTCCCACAGCCTTCCCGCGCCGCAGCCCTGCTGATGGCACTGCTGGTACTCTTCTCAAGTCCAAGAAGAGCGTGATTGTGACAGAGACACCCTCCGCTGTCTTCTGCTACTCGGAGAGCAGCTCAGATGAGACTGCAGCCAACGGGAGGACAGACGCCATCCTCAGAGCTGCCAAAAAGGACCTGCTCACCCTGATGAAGCTGGACGTGAGTGGCTGCTCCCGCCTCCTCCCTGGGGGTGTGGGCGCATCTGACCATCCCCGCAGACCCAGGTCTCTCAGAAGACCCCCTGCCTGTAGGAGCACGTCCCAGGGTTGAGGTGGCTGGGGCGTCTGCCAGGCAGGACCTGGGCGGGGGTCACGGCATTCCGACGCTGGCGGCGCCACCTCCCAGCGCTGCTGCACCAGGTCTCCGGCTCTAGTCCGCCCTCCACTTGCCCGCCTCCCGCAGCACGTCTCCAGGTCTGGGTGGGTGCAGGTAGCAGGTGGTGAGCACCCCTCCAGCCCAGTGTCACCGCTGAGAGGCGCTGGCCTTTCCTCTGAAAGTAGTTCTCCCCTTGCTGCCTCCGGTGTCTTTGTCTTTGTTCTCTGCAGTTCCACTCTCCAGAGCAGGGGGGTGGGCTCCTTTTTATCTGCCGTGTGCGAAGCTGCTTGCGCTTCTTCAGCCTGTCTCTGACCCCTTTTGAAAAATTATCAGCGCTGTCTCTTCAGAAGCTGCCTCTGTCCATTTTCTCTCTTCTCCTTCAGAGACTCGCAGGAATGTGTGTCCTCATTTATCCTTCACGTCTTGCTCCTTCCTCTGTATTTTCCGTTAGAAAGGCCTTTCTCTACTTGAACGTGGACATTTTCGCTTAACTGCAGGGACTCTTCTGGCAGCGCCTAGCCCGCTGTTAAGCCTGCGCTTGAGCTCTCGAGGTCGG